AATAATTGAAAAAAAAATGTAAGTGAATAAAGAACAGAATATACCAGAGCATGACCTTAAAAATGAGAATGCATCTCCTTATCGTCTTAATTGATTCTTTGAATCTATATAAGATTGGTCACTGTATCACTTTTGAATTTAAAAAGATTGTATTGTTGTAATCAAGTATATTATTATTATTGTATATTATTAAATGATAAGAATACATGATAAAGTTACATTCAGTTGTTCTCATCTCGAAATCATTTTAACTGACGGTAGATTTGACATAAAAATATTTATTAATAAAATAAAATAAAAATAAAGCACGTTGTTTTAGATTGAACATCGTCAATCTTTCAAACAATCACGTTAGTTACGCTATACAATGAGTTCAATTATTTACTATACTTGATGTAAACATAATACATACATTGCAAAGTTTACCCAATCTAAAGAGGATATTAAATATTGAATATCTATCAGACAAGATTTTTTGTTAACTTTATTAACATTTCTGGGATTTATGACAGCATCGGTGTAATGGATCGATGGACTGTATGGGTTTTTTTTATGTGATAATGTACTGGTGCACCCGCCTGCGCTGACGGATTACGCTGGCGGGGCACCAGTGGTGGATGATAGGATGAGCATGAGGTCAGATCAGTTAGCCCATCGTAACAAATTCACTAAGAATTTATCACGATGGTTTCCAGGGGGAACCGCGTGGAGGTCAACCTAACATGGTACATTGCTAGCAATGGGGTAATTACTCCACATTACTAACAATCCCCTTTCCCCCGACTGCATGGGTGTTTAAATGATGAAAACACGTAGTTTATAATAATACAATATACTAAATTATCCCATACTTCCTCTTTCTACACTAACTCATTCTCTCTGCGTGCTGTGCGACTGTGAAACTCACTACCATCCTCCACACGGAGTGCGCAATCACTAACCATTTTCAAGAACGCTGTGAAATCGCACTTTCTCTCTCAGTAAATAGTCTTTCTGCTGTCATTTCTTATTACTAAATTGTTGCCTTCATAATTGCATATATGTTGCTGTGTATCTATACTCGTATATATTTCTATATTATTGTATATTTATTTTATAAGTTATGTATTTATATATTATGTAGAATGTATATGTTTATAATATGTATTATTTTATATATTAATATTATTAATGTTTCTACTCCATCATTCGCCATCTACCACCTTCTGTCTTTTCTCCTCTACCCAAAGGTTGTCTGGAAGAGATCGCATAAGCGAGAAGATCGCCTTTTGTACCCATATACTAAATATTGTTTTCTTTTGTATATATGTGTTTTGTTATTATGGTGCAATAAAGAATAATAAAAAAAATTAAAAAATAAAGTGCAGTTGCGAACTATGAAAAAGTCAATATAAGGGATTAATACAATAAATTGAAGGATATCAAATAACACGACACATATAAAAGAACTCTTCAAAAATATTAATTAATAATAATATAAATATCAAATGAGTTCGGTGGTCGGTCGCCAACAATCGGTTATTTTTAATCTAAATTTATTTTGGGGTTATCAGTGATCTAGAGGTTTAGCACGATAATTAACTAACTACCTGCCTCGGCTTCACATGTATGCAATTAATGTGGGAATAACCAATTTCTTTAGTAATAAAATGGAATGTCACTCGTACAAAGTAGTTTTGTATGGGTGAAGAATGTTTAAAATCTGTTAATGATATTTTGAGTTTATTTATTAGAAACAAACAAAATATTTCTCTTTATAATATTGTAGTTTAAATGATTGGGAACACCATTATCAATATAATAATATGATTGTAGTAGGAAATAGAAATAAACTTTATTCAAATAAACTTAAATTTAAGTGCTTTTGAATATTTGCTTCATTTAATATACCACGCATTTGGAAAGCAGTTACAGCAGAAGAAGAACGAGCAAGAAATATGCCTATTCCTATATTATACAAAAAATACAATACAAACATTTTTTTTTATTTTACCACTCATTTGAAATGCAGTTCAGCACAAGAAGAACGAGCAAGAAACTTACCAATTCCTCTTTTTTAACACAACTACAATAAAAACTAATCAACAAATGCCCAAATACATTAGATTCAATGTATTAATTAAATAAGATGAGATTTACAAGTGTAAAACAAATGATTGGTAACAAGTATTTGTTCAAAAAAAAATTCAGGTTTGTATAAACTTAAAACGATAACGCTCACGCACTTTGTCTATTATATCTTGAATAGAATAGAAAATCATTTATTCAAATAATCATACATTGAAGCACTTTTGAATAGTCATCACATTTTCTTTAATCTACCGCTCATTCGGAAATCTGTCTCATCACAAGAGAAACGAGAAAGAAACTTGCATGTTCATCTTTTAAATATTATCATTATATTTGCTATTGTGTTGCAAATTAAACTATTTGTACTTGTACAAGAATTCATGGAACCCATGGATGTCCTAGCAGATTTAGAATAGAATTTAGTTTTAGTAATAAAATCAAAAGAATACTCACCACATATCCAAGTACTGGATCGTTCGAGTGGATACTTTCTACTCTAGACCAAGTCAGCCCAATGGAATCATCGTTAGCCACCAATTCGGTAATTATCGGAGCTGATAATTCTTTAACAGGCTGTGTATTCACTAATAAAGTCTGGGTGAGGGCGACCAGTAACAAATACTTCATGTTTAAAGTTGATTGCACGACCGTCCAATTTGAAGTCAAGTGACTATTTGTGGTGGACAATTGACATGCGGGCTTGTTTGTAAACGAGTTTTAGTGTCACGATTGGTCGATTGCTATTAGTCATAGTGATAAGTCGTTACGATAGGTACTTATGATTAAGATTTAAGATAGGTATAATGTATAACTAATGCGTCATAGTATCATTTTGTGTGTGTAAAAATTAAGTTATGCATGCTGTGTCTACATCTAGTAGGACCCCTCCGATGAGGCAGTCACCCAAACAAAAAGCCCCGGAGAAAAAAAAAATTTCAATTCAAACGGAGATCGATATTACAAAGGCCTGAGCCGAGGTTCGAATCCCTAGCGGTGCCCTCAGACTAAAGTCGTACCCGTCAGACGGGAGTTGGCCTTCAGCCGCTTCATAAGTCCTTCCGCGGGTTTGGAGTGCCATCTGCCCTCGTCCTTTGAAGCTGTAAAGGCCAGCTACAGCAATAGAGTAGTCCGAAAAAAAATTTTGTATGATGTATTACTTAGATAGTATATTTTATCTATGTAAAGTTATGTACTCTATAAAACATCCAGTTTTGTAGACCTAATAAATAAAAAAAAATAGAATAGAATAGAAATAGTCTTTATTCAAATAAACTTAATATAAACGCTTTTTTAAACGCTAAAACAACAAAATGTGTGATCGAATGACGAGCGTGCATGGCAACAGTTATTCATGCACGGAATTTTCATTTTAATATAAAACATAGATACTTATATAAATGTACTTTGCGAATAAAGTTGCATTAAAAAAAAAAAGAAATTCAAATCGAGGAATCGAATCTGTGACCAACTGAACTAAGGCGGTGTGGTAAACCGCTAGACCACCGAGACCGTCACTATACTATGTTTATTATTTAGTATCAGTCCAGTAATAACTGAGTTTGTATCTTTTGTTATTCTAATATATAAAACTCTCGTGTCACAGGTTTGTGTTTATACTCCTCCGAAACGGCTTGACCGATTGTGATAAAATTTTATTTGTGTATTCAGTAGGTTTGAGAATAGGTTTATAACAAATTTTTATAGCCCTATCTGTTAAGGTTTTTTTTCACTATATCGATAAATATTTTATATTTTTATTAAGTGGCAATAAAAATTCCTACGACTCCAAATTTTCACCCTTCTACCATCAACCCCTATTTTTTAATAGTGATTTTAATTTACATGGCAAAACAACGTTTTCGGAGTCAGCTAGTTATTTTATAAAACATTTGTTTAATTATAATAATAATAATCTCAGGACAATTCACACAGCGCCATTTAGACCCAAGTTAAGCTAGCTAAAGCTTGTGTTATGGGTACTAGATAACTGATCTCCGAAACGGCTTGACCGATTTCGATGAAATTTTATATGTATATTCAGTAAGTCTGAGAATAGGCTTATTACTAATTTTGATACCCTAAGTGTTAAGGGTGACTCTAACCAAAAATTTTATCACTTATTTTACAAAAAAAAATATGTATGTTGTTTTTATTATATGGCACTACAAATACATAACCCTAAATTTTCACCTTTCTATAACCAACCTCTATTTTTTTTTTTATTCTATATATAATCCAATGTGTTTATAGGCCATCAAAATGATTAATATTGTCAATTTTATTTGGTATTAAGGAGAGAATATATATCATAATTTAAATATTTTGTTTTTTTGCACCTATGGGGGTGGCATATTTGGAGTCGTAGGAAACGACTCCAAATAAACCCTCAATATTTAAGTGATTTTAGATTAAAAAAAAAGTCTCTAGTTATTTTTAAACATTTGTTATTAATTTATATAGCAAAACAACGTTCGCCATTTAGACAGTTAAGTATATATATATATATATATATATATATATATATATATATATATATATATATATCTGTATATTTTAGGGGAGAATATAATACTTTCTACAGTGCGGGCCTCAACCAAAAATTTTGTGGATGAGTTTAAAACATGCACGAGGATGAAGAATGTGTTGCTAGCAACAAATAATCATTTTATATTTATGTCTATGGTAATACCATTGCATGAGTGCTAGAGGGTGGCACCATTGAATTCCTTGTTAACTCACTTTCTTTCACGATATTGTCTAACAGACGCTATACGTTGCTCAGTGTAATTAAGTTATTGTATAATTTAAATATAATTAGTTTGGTCCAGCAAAGGTGTTTTTATCATCAGCTACCTACAGTCCACGCTCTCAACAGAATGTGATGACAAAAAAAATCCCTAAATTATTATTATTATTTATTTATTCTCTGTAATTACAATCTGTGAGTGATTCTACTGAGTATGAGATAATTTGATTTCAGCACGGTCTGACAGCTCTCCTTCCTGAGTGCTTGTGTACGCGAGCACCCTGATGTGATACAATACGTCTATCTGTATGTTGTCTATAAGGGTGGTGGTGACGTCAGCATCGGCCAACTTGATCTCTCGTGGTGTGCCACTAGGTATCTTGGTTGGGTCCAGCTGAAAATATTAAAAAAATAGAAAGTTTCTAAAATAAAAGTAGCCTAAGTTACTCAGTAAAATATTAGTTATTTGCGAGTGAAAGTACCGTCAGTAAAATAATTTGTTGTTTCAGAGATTAGCAAGAACATGCAGACAGACATATTTTTTTAAATAAGAATAATATCCCTGGACAATTTATACAATGTTATTAACATTGTGTGAATAGTGAAAATAATTATTCAAAAGTGCTTGTAATGAGTTTATTTGAATAAAGATTATTTCTATTTCTATTTCTATTTATTTATTTAATTCTTATCACTTAAGGGTATCAAAAATAGATAGTACCCGATTCCAAAACCTACTGAATGCGTATAAAATAAAAAAAAATCGATCAATCCGATTCGGTGGTGTATGGTAGCTAACATTGTGACACGAGATTTTTATATCATTACATAGTATAAAACAAAGTCGCTGTCGCTGTCTGTCCGTACTAATGTATGCTTAAATCTTTAAAATTCAACAGAATATAAAGCGGTTTTTTTTAATAGATAGAGTGAATCAAGAGGAAGGTTATATATGTTATTATATATATAATACATGTACACCCGTGCGAAGCCGGGGCGAGTAGCCAGTAGAAAATAAATCTCTGTTTGCACAATGGTTGACTGAGAGAAAATGCCTCAAGATGTTTTCCTTCATATGCATAAATAAATATAACATACTTTGGGTGTTTTCTTCTCTTCGACGACCACAGTCTTCCCGTCCACAATTTTATAATGAGACACGGTTTCATCTGGAATCTGCCACACTACTATAATATGAAATTATAAATTGTATTTTCAGCTACAATTCATTCATTCAATTAAAATTGTCCTGATAATATATATGATTGCACAGAGATGGTTTCTATGCCTAATCCTCGTTAATACTTAGTAAAGAGAAATTCACGCAACCTCAAACATAAAATTAAAATTAAATAAACGATATTAATAATAGTAAAAATTAAAAATATAAAAAGATAATAAAAAATGAGGTTTAAACTACTTAATGAATAAATTGCTATAAGCAATAAAATTATACAAAGATAACAAAAAATGAGGCTTAAGCTACTCAGCGAATAAATTACTCAATAAACAAAACACTGTTTTTCAATAGTTGCTCTAGAGTAGTGGGAATACGTACAACGAATCATTACGCAAATATTAAACTCAACAAATAAATATAAAATTAACGATAATAATAATAAAAATAAAACTCAAAGTAATTCAATTGAGTTTCTTAACAGTTCTTCTCAATTGGATCTATATACTGAACTGGACGGTAAGGAAAAAATAAAAAATATAATGAAAATAATTTGACGTTCATAAGCGGCTAAAATAGGACATTTTTTTACATGAATAAATGATATTTTAATTTGATTTTGAATACTAATAATGAAATAATTAATTCAAATTTAATATACATTTCGTTATAAATATTTGAGTAACACTTACAATGTATCCTTTAATTGGGTCATTTGAACTGACACTCTCGACTTTAGTCCAGGATAGCTTGAGAAAATCATTCTGAGCTACCAACATGGTAATCGTTGGAGCTGGTATTCTGGTTGGCTGACCAGCCACTAACGCCTGCATCGCAGCTAGCAGAACGAAGATCTTCATGATGATGGGGATAACTCGACCGGCCGCTCGAATGTCCACTAACGATATGTGATAGAGAAATGGGTTGTTTGTTTATAAAGCAGAGTCTCTGAGTGATCTAATCATCTGATTGGTTGGCTGTTTAGTCATAGATAAATATTGATAGCGACGGCCCGGTGGTATAGTGGTTTAACACCGCTTTACTTCTAATGATCGCAGGTTCGATTTCTCGCACGGTAGTAATATTTGTATTCGTAAGTATGATTGATTATAGCGGTAATAGGAAACACTAGGATCGCAGGTTCGAGTCCTCGCACGGTACTAACATTTGTATTCGTGAGTATGTTTGTTTGTATCTATCTGTGTGTTTCCTACGAATATTTATTATAGCACAAAAATGTATTTCAGTATTTATATCATATGTCTAGTACCTATAACACAAGCTCTGTTTAGCTTGGGACTACACAAATATAACTGTGGACAGGTACCCCGTTGGGATAAATGTTTTTTTTTCTTACGTCAAAAAAAAAAAAAAAAGTTTTTTTTCTTACGACAGAACTAATCGTTATACTATTTGTATAACTATTAGTTCTGTCCCCTTTCGATCGATCTCCCGTCTCCTTACTCAGATCGATCGCCCGTACAATCAAAATAATAATTACTACAGTCTGATCCGAGGTTCGAACCCCTATTGGTGACCTCGTACTAAATGTTATATCCGTCATGCAGGAGTTGGCCTTTAGCCACTGCAGAAGTTCTTCCTTTGGTTTGGAGTGCCATCTGCAATCAACCCCTATCGTCCGGTAAAGCTGTAAAGATCAGCTGCTGTCAACAGCATTAGAGTAGTCTGAAAAAAGTGGTTAGTTCCTTTTTTTTATATAACACAGGGGACAATCGAGTATGCGGCTCACCTGATGGTAAGTCATTACCGCCGCCTATGAGCACCCGCAACACCAGGGGCAAGTACGTTGTCGGCCTTTTAAAAAGGAATAAGCTCTTTTCTTGAAGGTTTCAATATCGTATCGGTTCGGAAATACCATTGCTGGAAGGTGATTCCACAATGTGGTTGTGCGTGGCAAAAAGTTTCTAGAAAACCGCACTGTGGAAGACCGCCATTCATCCAAATGATGAGGATAGAATTTTAGTTTCTGGCGGGTGGTACGGTGGTGAAACTCAGCAGCTGGTTGTTGCAATAGTTTAATAGGGAGTAAATAACGAGATGACTGCGAACAGGGATGAATGGAAGAGAAAAACATTACGACGACCACAAATAAATGGGATAAGGAAGAATCAGCTAATGATGATATTAGTCATTTGCTATATTGTTTTCACTGATTGTAAGTAAATATAAAAGACACATGATTACGCGCTCATCAATGATTCACCTCCAAATTAGAAGACAAACAATTTGTTGCCATGTAGAAATAATAGTAAACAGGTAAATTGATGACAGTTGTTTTTTAACCGATGATAATGGAATAGCGCACCTGCCTACGCTAACGGTGTACGCTGGCGGGGCACCAGTGGAAGATAAGATGAGAATGAGGTCAGGATACTTAGCCCATCGTGATAAATTCTCCAGGAATATATTAATGTTTTCCATTAGGAACCGCGTATAGGTCTACCTGACATAGTACATTGCTGGCTATGGAGTCCATATTCAATATAAAAAATCATTTATTCATGTAGGATTTTTAGCCGCTTATGAACGGCAAACTTTTTATATTATAATTTTTATTTTTTCACTAGTCCAGTTCAGTATATATATATCCAATTGAGAAGAACTGGGAAGAAACTCATTTGAATTACTTTTTTTTTAAAGCCAGTTTATTTACAATGTATATTTATATAGGTGTCTATGTCTAACATTAAATGAAAATCCCGTGCATGAACAACTATTGCAATGCACGCTCGTCTTTCAAATATATTTACTTATACTACATATTACTAACAATCACTTGGATTGAGGAATGACCTACCTACCGAGATTTTCTCGTCATACTCGTGAGCGGGCGCTGCTTGTCTGTGAGGGACTGGTCTGCTCTAATCACTATGACTGATTTCCTCTTATTAATTGTTTAACCAGTTGGTTGTGTATTCAATATTTTTTCTATTTGAGTATTTAATTGAATTAGTGTTAATCGGTAGTTTGTATTCACACACTTAAACTTAAAAATGTAAAGTAAGAATAAAATTATTTAAAAGAGCAACACGCAAGTTTTTTGCTCGTTCTTCTTGTGATGAGACAGCTTTCCGAACGAGCGGTAGATTAAAAAAAATGTAATGACTATTCAAAAGTGCTTCAATGTAAGTTTATTTGAATAAATGATTTTCTATTCTATTCTCGAGAGACTACAGCATAGGGTTTTTCAAGAAGGGTATACTAAGGTTTCTTAAGGGTCGGCAACGTGCACGAGACACCATTTGTGTTTCAGGGGTCCATAGGCTGCGGTAACCGTCTACCCTCAGATGGGCCGTATACATGTTTGCCACCTATGTGCTACAAAAAAAACTCCTTTCCCCCAAGTCGCTGATAGTTTTTTTTTTTTTATGGATGATAATGGAATGATGCACCCGCCTGCGCTAACGATTTACGCTGGCGGGGCACCAGTGGAGGATGATAAGATGAGCATGAGGTCAGGTTAGTTAGCCCATCGTGACAAATTCACTAGGAATTTATCACGATAGTTTCCAGGGGGACCACGTGGAGGTCAACCTGACATGGTACATAGCTAGTAATGGGGTCATGAGTCCACATTACTAACAATCCCTGTCCCCCCTAGTCGCTGATAGTTATCTATTTGGACTCTAAACATAGCTAGTAACAGTTTAATCAGCTTATCATTATGACTAGTATTATTAATGTTTTTGAATGGAAAAATAGAATTACGGTTACTATGATGACAGCTTCTAGGACAGGCTTTGACTTGTCCCTTTTTTTATAAGATGTTGGGAGCAAAAATGCTATATGCGACAAGTCCAAGCCTGTTCGACCTCGTGTTTCAGAATGGGGCAGTTTTACAAGCAATTGCCTTTCTCCTGGTAAATGTGTACCGTAGCCTATGAATGCTACAGTCAGTTTTACCAGAGTTGTAACGTCCGATTTGCTCTAAACTCAAATAGTTATTTTTTAATAACGAAAATACCATATTTATTTATACGTGGAATTAGGAAAAATCACGGGATCTTACTATCTTCTGTTTATTTTATTGAGTTCCCGATATTTAACGTGGTAAGATCTGAGAAGAACTGATAAACTCAACTGGTAGATTTTTTCATGTCATAATAATAAACTTGGGCAATTAACACAGCATCATCTAGTCCCACGGTAAGCAGAGCTAGTGTTATGGGTACTAGAAAACTGATATAAATACTTAAATTTTTTTTCTAAGTACATACATAATGTACATAGAAAACACACAGACCGATACAAACAATCATGCTCATGAATGCAGATGTTTGCACCGTGCGAGGAATCGAACCCGCGACCATCGGAAGTAAAGCAGTGTGCTATACCGCTAGACCACTGTAGCTATTAATATTATTATTATTATTAGACAGTTTTAAGGAACACAGCATACAGATAAACAGATTAGAATCACAAAGCTACCACCCATTATCATTAATCCACAGCTAATCATTTCTAATCAATCTGTATCAGTACATCTAACCAATCAAATTAATAACACCAACAAACTCTCTCATTTATAAATGGGCAATCCACAATACATAGCACATCATCACTTGATTCTAAGTTGATTGGTCTTGTTACAATTTTCTTTTCTTTTCTTGATCAAATTCACCATCAACCATGAAGCTCCTTCTGCCTTTGTTTGCTGTAACGCTGGCATTAGTTGCTGGTCTTCCAACCAGCACTATACCTTATCCAACCATAACTCTACTGGTGGCCAGAGATGATTCCATCTTGGTGCATTGGACTAAAATCAAGAATGTGAATACAGAGGATCCAATTATTGGATATATTGTAAGTAACCGTTTTTTATGTAATTGTAATAAACATATTTTCAGCATTTTCTATCACTTGATGGATAATGGTGGAAACTGTCGCTGAACTACTTGACTCTTCATGAATAGTAGCGGAGTTAAACAAAATAATATAAATACATTAGGTAATGAAATGAACTTCCGTAAAATAACACCTAAATATATAAAATATATGATTCTTATTATATATTTAACACTTCGAACTGTAACACTTTCAAAGCAAGATACTAACGGTATATTTAGGCGAGAGAGTGACACTTGAGCAAACAATTTTTACGAAAGATTATTTAATAATTGTTTTTCTTTTCAGGTGAAAGTATGGGAATTTCCTGATGTGATCGTATACAAGTACGACATTGTCGACGGAGAGGTTGTAGTCACCCAAGAAAAGACAGAAGCTAAGGTGAGTAATATTGTATGTTATTACTTGAATAGAACGGAATTTTCTATATAGTATATATGTTTGATAAATAGGCTCATAGGTATATATCATTACATAGTAAAAACAAAGTCGCTGTCACTGTCTGTCCCTATGTATACTTAAATATTTAAAACTGATTTTGAGGTTTTCAAAAGCGATTTTTTTATTAGATACAGCGATTCAAGAGGAAGTTTTATATATATAATACGTGTACACCCGTGCGAAGCCGGGGCGAGTAGCTAGTATGATATATAGTACAAGCTCTACTAAGTTTAAATTATTTTATTGTATTTATTTATTTATTTCCGGCTACTAATTGTCTATTAAATATAGGAGTTGTATAATAAACACTCAGAGCGATACAAACCATCATACTTTTGAATACAAAGTTTGTACCGTGCGAGGAATCGAACCCGCTATCATCGGAAGTAAAACGATCTAAACCTAGACCATTGAGACCATTAAATATATAATCTTAATTTATAATTTCAGGTGGACCTGACCAATATACCGAGTGGTAGACCGCGAGAGATCAACGTGGCAGGTGGTGATATCACTAACGCCATCATTGATAACACAAGGCCCAATGTGTTGTACCATATCAGGGTACTGGCTTACACGAAGACACAGGAAGGCCCTCTGTCACCAGGCTCCTCTATCAAGCTCATAAAGGAAGATTAGAACAGCCTGTACATTATAAATAAATATTAAACTATTGCATTACATTTCACATGAATTATAAAATTACTATTTATCCTAAATATTTATTTATTTATTTATTTATTCTTTTGCACACAAAATTGTATACAGGGCGAACTTAATGCCTGATGGCTTTCCCTACCAGTCAGCCGTCGCGTTGATCAGAGATAGTAAGCAATATCACTACAAATATCAAACAGATCCATGGAAATCATTTAGTTTTATTTAATATATTTGATTATTATTAGAATAAAACATAAAATAGAATTGAAAACTTTTTGTATAAATATTAATACACGTATTTAAATATGTATATTTATATGTAAATAAATAAATATTTTTTTTATAATTTAAAACTTTTATTAATACAAAAATGCAGAATATAATGCACAAATCAATGAGTCGAGCCCTACCTACCTATATTATTATACTAGCTGATCCGCGCAACTTTGTCTGCACACTTGTTTGACATTTATCATTATATTTCACCAATTATAATATCTTTTTAAACTATAACCTATGTGTTATTCTGATGTATAACCTATATTGCTGTAAAGTTTCGTCAAAACATGTTCAGTAGTTTTTGCGTGAAGTAACAAACATCCATCTTACTCACAAGCTTTATTCACAAGAGCATTCTGAGCATAATATTATATTATATACGAGTATGAGAACACTTCGAGCGGATTGTAACTTACAATTAGATGCAGTGGCTTTAACAGACTAATTATTTTTCTATATATGTGTATTATATGTACCGATTTTATTATTCATAAGTTATCTGTAGAATATTCACAGACATTATTCTATAAGTAGTATAACATTTTTCTATAAGTAGTTTTTTTAAGTTATGTATAAATATTTGTTATGTATATTTATATAATATATAAATATTTCTCTATTTCGGCCTTTCGCTGCCCCTATAACCTAATCCACATTCATATGTAACATCTTCCAAACCTAACCTTGAAAATACACACAATAATATACAATTTAACACATAATAAAAACAATTATTCTTTATTCTTTATTGTACACACACAGGAAAAAAAAATAGCAGTAATAAAATAAAAGTAATGTACAAGGGCGAGCTTATCTCTAAAAAGAGATTTCTTCCGGCAAACCTAGAAAATTTTATAGGATAATTTGGTCATTAGATCAGCCATACATACGTGTACGAGAAAATAGAAGAAAAAAAGGGAAAGGAAGACATTAAAATTATATAAATATTAATAAGTCACACTATAAGAAGGAATAAACATACACAAATAAATAAATATATAAATACGAATTACAAATATTATATTTTTATAACTGGATCGGCAACTAGATACGTGCGAAGACATTAAAATTATATAAATATTAATAAGTCACACGGAACACAAATATATAAATATATGAATTTATAAATATTATACTTATAACGATGAGAGCTATATATGAGAGCTAATAATCTCACGTTATCATGCAAGTAACATAATGAAAGTACCCCTTAGGCGTAGTCATTTTTATTATTAACTAGCTGTGCCCGCCATTTAATCCGCGTGAAATTTATAGCCTATATGTTATTCGGATAAGCTATATTACTGCAAAATTTTATCAAAATCCGTTCAATAGTTTTGCGTGAAAGAGTAACAAACATCCATCCATACTCACAATGTCTCGCGTTTATAGTATTAATAAGACTAGCTGTGGCCGCAACTTCGTCTGCATATTATGGTTAACAATTTATAATAGCGACCATGGTTAACAATTTATTATACCGCCCTTTTTATTTTATTTTAAAGGATTTTTTTTTTAATTTTGCATCTTATATTATTATATATTTTTTCAAGAGCCTAAAAACTAAGTTTTAAGCTTCTACCTTTAAAAATGACGATATTTCCATATAACCTTTCATCTCACCTTCCGACCCCTAACAACACATTTTTCGCATTAAAAAGTAGCCTATATAAGTATATAGGCTACTTATTTTTTCTCAGGGTCTAGAGTTTAGACTATTTCTGTACAAAATTCACTTAAATCGGATTAGTAGTATTTGCATGAAAGTGAGACAGACAGACAGTGTTACTTTCGCATTTACAACATTAGTAAGGACATATAACCTTTCATCTCCCTTAACAACCCTTTTTTGCATTAAAAAGTAGCCTATGTCCTTTCTCAGGGTCTAGACTATTTGTGTACAAAATTTCATTAAAATCGGTTTAGTAGTATTGGCGTGAAAGCGAGACAAACAGATAGAGTTACATACATTCTCATTTATTAATATTAGGTTTAACAGTATTGAAAGCGAGACAAACAGACAGAGTTACATTCTCATTTATTAATATTAGTAACGATAAGGATAATAATGTAACGGTGTAACTGCCTGTAACGATTTACCCTGGTGAGGCACCAGTGGATGATGATAAGATGAAGTTTCTGCCAGGTCAATTAGCCTCGTAACAAAGAAAGCAGGAATTTATAGGTTATAGTTTAAAAAGATATTATGATTGGTGAAATATAATGATGAATGTCAAGCAAGTGTGCAGACAAAGTTGCGCGGATCAGCTAGTACAATAATATATGTAGGTAGGCTCGACTCATTGATTTGTGCATTATATTCTGCATTTTTGTATTAATAAAAGTCTTAAATTATATAAAAAAAATATTTATTTATTTACATATAAGTATCCATATTTAAATTCGTGTATTAATATTTATACAAAAAGTTTTCAATTCTATTTTATATTTTCTTCAAATAATAATCAAATATATTTAACAAAACTAAATGATTTCTATGGATCTGTTTGATATTTGTAGTGATATTGCTTTCTATCTCTGATTAACGCGACGGCTGACTGGTAGAGAAGGCCATTAGGCATTAAGTTCGCCATATATACAATTTTGTGTGCAAAAGAGTAACTAAGTAAATAAATATTTAGGATAAATAGTAATTTTGTAATTCATGTGAAATGTAATGCAATAGTTTAATATTTATTTATAATGTACAGGTTGTTCTAGTCTTCCTTTATGAGCTTGATAGAGGAGCCTGGTGACAGAGGGCCTTCCTGTGTCTTCGTGTAAGCCAGTACCCTGATATGGTACAACACATTGGGCCTTATGTTATCAATGATGGCGTTAGTGATATCACCACCTGCCACGTTGATCTCTCGCGGTCTCCCACTCGGTATATTGGTCAGGTCCACCTGAAATTATAAATTAAGATTATATATTAAATGGTCTCAGTGGTCTAGGTTTAGATCGTTTTACTTCCGATGATAGCGGGTTCGATTCCTCGCACGGTACAAACTTTGTATTCAAAAGTATGATGGTTTGTATCGCTCTGAGTCTTTACTATACAACTCCTATATTTAATAGACAATTAGTAGCTGGAAATAAATAAATAAATACAATAAAATAATTTAAACTTAGTAGAGCTGGTACTATATATCATACGAGCTACTCACCCCGGCTTCGCACGGGTGTACACGTATTATATATATATAAAACATCCTCTTGAATCACTGTATCTACTAAAAAAATCGCTTTTGAAAACCTCAAAATCAGTTTTAAAGATTTAAGTATACATAGGGACAGACAGTGACAGCGACTTTGTTTTATACTATGTAATGACATATACCTCTGAGCCTATTTATCAAACTTATACACTATATAGAAAATTCCGTTCTATTCAAGTAATAACATACAATATTACTCACCTTAGCTTCTGTCTTTTCTTGGGTGACCACCACCTCTCCGTCGACAATGTCGTACTTGTATACGATCACATCAGGAATCTCCCATACTTTCACCTGAAAAGAAAAACAATTAAATAATCTTTCGTAAATTGTTTGCTCAAGTGTCACTGTTTCGCCTAAATATGCCGTTAGTATCTTGCTTTGAAAGTATTACAGTTCGAAGTGTTAAATATATAATAAGAATCATATATTTTATATATTTAGGTGTTATTTTACGGAAGTTCATTTCATTACCAATTGTATTTATATTATTTTGTTTAACTCCGCTACTATTCATGAAGACTCAAGTAGTTCAGCGACAGTTTCCACCATTATCCATCAAGTGATAGAAAATGCTGAAAATATGTTTATTACAATTACATAAAAAACGGTTACTTACAATATATCCAATAATTGGATCTTCTGTATTCACATTCTTGATTTTAGTCCAATGCACCAAGATGGAATCATTTCTGGCCACCAGTAGAGTTATGGTTGGGTAAGGTATAGTGCTGGTTGGAAGACCAGCAACTAATGCCAGCGTTACAGCAAACAAAGGCAGAAGGAACTTCATGGTTGATGGTGAATTTGATCAAGAAAAGAAAAGAAAATTGTAACAAGACCAATCAACTTAGAATCGAGTGACGATGTGCTATGTATTGTGGGTTGCCCATTTATAAATGAGAGAGTTTGTTGGTGTTATTAATTTGATTGGTTAGATGTACTGATACAGATTGATTAGAAATGATTAGCTGTGGATTAATGATAATGGGTAGTAGCTTTGTGATTCTAATCTTTTTATCAATATGCTATATTCCTTAAAACTAACTCAAAATAATAATAATAATGTAAAAAATGTGCCAGCACTCCCAAATTGAAGTCCTGACTACTTCAATTGGGAAATATTGAACTGAACCGTAAGGATATGAGGCCGGAAGGTCCATGTTTGTGTATTTTTTTATATATTTTTTTTAAATTTGATAATTTATATAGTGCTGTCTAGTCTCAAGGTAAGCAGAGCTTGTGTTTTGGGTACTAGAGAACAAATATAAATATCCAAATATGTTTTTAAATACACACATAAATATACACAGAAGACTCTTTTTTTTTCAAAATTCAAAATTCAAAAATCATTTATTCATGTAGGACATTTTCGCCGCTTATGAACGTCAAGTTTTTACATTATATTTTTTTTCCCTACCGTCCAGTTCGGTATATAGATCCAGTTGAGAAGAACTGGCAAGAACTCTGTAGAGTAAAGTC